GTCGTGCTGGGGCGTGGTAGTGCTGGGGTGTGGTCGTGCTGTGGTGAGGTCGTGCTGGGGTGTGGTCGTGCTGGGGTGTGGTCTTGCTGGGGTAGGGTCGTGCTGGGGTCGGGTCGTGCTGGGGTGTGGTCGTGCTGGGGTATGTCGTGCTGGGGTGGGGTCGTGCTGGGGTGGGGTCGTGCTGGGGTCTGGTCGTGCTGGGGTGTGGTCGTGCTGGGGTATGGTCGTGCTAGGGTGGGGTCGTGCATTTCGCTCGAGACATCCTGCCAAAATTCCAGGAAATCGTACAAAAACAAAGGAATAGTCGAGACATCATCGAAATTCCTTCGCGCGGGGCGCTTTTCCGCGTCGCGGTCGGCTCTGCAAAACAAGCGTTTCGCTCGAGACATCCTCGGCAAACTCTGCGGGAGCAAGCGTTTCGCTCGAGACATCCCTCAACAACGAGCATGATGGAACCACGAAACCGGGGAAAGGGATATAGACAGTGCAGCATGGTCACGTTTCACGATACCCAACGGGGCAACCCCCACGAAACATCCCACGAGACACTTCACGAAACATCCCACGAGACACCTCACGAAACATTCCACGAGACACCTCACGAAACATTCCACGAGACACACCGCGAAACATTCCACGAGACACCCCACGAAACATTCCACGACGACAGGCAACCACTCAACCACGGCGGTGTGGTCGTGCTGGGGAGTGGTCGTGCTGGGGAGTGGTCGTGCTGGGGGGTGGTCGTGCTGGGGCGTGGTCGTGCTGGGGGGGTGGTCGTGCTGGGGGGTGGTCGTGCTGGGGCGTGGTCGTGCTGGGGCGTGGTCGTGCTGGTGCGTGGTCGTGCTGGGGTGGGGTCGTGCTGGGGTGTGGTCGTGCTGGGGTGTGGTCGTGCTGGGGTGTGGTCTTGCTGGGGTAGGGTCGTGCTGGGGTCGGGTCGTGCTGGGGTGTGGTCGTGCTGGGGGTGGGTCGTGCTGGGGTGTGGTCGTGCGGGGGTGTGGTCGAGTGGGGTTGGGGTCGTGCTCGGGTAGTGCGTCGTGCTGGGGTGGTGGTTGCTGGGGTGTGTCGTGCTGGGGTGTGGTCGTGCATGGGGTGGAGGTCGTGCTGGGGTGGGCGTCGTGATGGGGTGTGGTCGTGCTGGGGGTGTGGTCGTGCTGGGGCGTGGTCGTTGCTGGGGTGGGTCGTGCTGGGGTGGGGGGGTCGTGCTGGGGTGTTGGTCGTGCTGGGGTGTGGTCGTGCTGGGGACGCACTGGCACGCGCGAGAAATCCTCGGAATTACTGCGCGCGAGGAGCGGCTTTTCCGTGTCGCGGTCGGCTCTGCCCAAAACCAGCGATTTCGCTCGAGACATGTCCTCAACAAATTCGAAACCAAGCGTTTCGATTCGAGACATCCAACTCTGCAAACCAGCGTTTCGCTCGAGACATCCTCAACAAATTCTGAAAAACAAGCGTTTCGCTCGAGACATCCTCAAATTTTAATTCGCCGGCCTCCTTCGACCTCGTTATTTATCAGGGAAAAAATTCGCCGGCCTCCTTCAAGCAGGCACCAGGGGACAGGTTTACCCACTAAAAGAGAACCCTGGGCTTAAGCCCTTTCCGGGAAAAGTCGCTCGAGACATCCTCAACACACGAAAAAGTGGCCCGCACCCTGTGATTTATCGATCGGGATTTCAAAAACAAGCGTTTCGCTCGAGACATCCTCAAATTTTAATTCGCCGGCCTCCTTCGACCTCGATATTTATCAGGGAAAAAATTCGCCGGCCTCCTTCAAGTTGGCACCGGGGGACAGGTTTACCCACTAAAAGAGAACCCTGGGCCGGAGCCCTTTCCGGGAAAAACAGATTCCGGAAGAAAAATCAACGCACAAAATAGGAAACGGGCTGCTTCCCGGAAGAAAAACATGATGGACCCACGAACCCGGAAAGGGATATAGACATGTGGAGCATGGGCACGTTTTCACGATACCCAACGGGGCAACACCTCACGAAACATCCCACGAGACACCTCACGAAACATCCCACGAGACACCTCACGAAACATTCCGCAAGACACCTCACGAAACATTCCAGGAGACACCCCGCGAAACATTCCACGAGACACCCCACGAAACATTCCACGACGACAGGCAACCACTCAACCAAGGCGGTGTGGTCGTGCTGGGGAGTGGTCGTGCTGGGGTGTGGTCGTGCTGGGGGGTGGTCGTGCTGGGGTGTGGTCGTGCTCGGGGGGTGGTCGTGCTGGGGGGTGGTCGTGCTGGGGCGTGGTCGTGCTGGGGCGTGGTCGTGCTGGGGCGTGGTCGTGCTGGGGTGGGGTCGTGCTGTGGTGAGGTCGTGCTGGGGTGTGGTCGTGCTGGGGTGTGGTCTTGCTAGGGTGTGGTCGTGCTGGGGTGTGGTCGTGCTGGGGTGTGGTCGTGCTGGGGTGTGGTCTTGCTGGGGTGTGGTCGTGCTGGGGCGTGGTCGTGCTGGGGTGTGGTCGTGCTGGGGTGTGGTCGTGCTGGGGTGTGGTCGTGCTGGGGTGTGGTCGTGCCTGGGGGGTGGTCCCGTGCTGGGCGGGTCGTGCTGGGCGTGGCGTGCTGGGGCGTGGTCCGAGCGGTGGGGTCTGCTAGGGTGTGTTGTCTGGTGTTTGTCGTGCTGGGTTGGTCTTGCGGGTAGGGGTCGTGCTGGGGTCGGGTCGTGCTGGGGTGTGGTCGTGCTGGGGTATGGTCGTGCTGGGGTGGGGTCGTGCTGGGGTGGGGTCGTGCTGGGGTCTGGTCGTGCTGGGGTGTGGTCGTGCTGGGGTATGGTCGTGCTAGGGTGGGGTCGTGCAGTTCGCTCGAGACATCCTGCCAAAATTCCAGGAAATCGTACAAAAACAAACGAATTAGTCGAGACATCATCGAAATTCCTTCGCGCGGGGCGCTTTTCCTCGTCGCGGTCGGCTCTGCAAAACAAGCGTTTCGCTCGAGACATCCTCGGCAAACTCTGCGGAGCAAGCGTTTCGCTCGAGACATCCTCAACACACGAAAAAGTGTCCCGCACACTGTGATTTATCGATCGGGATTTCAAAAACAAGCGTTTCGCTCGAGACATCCTCAAATTTTAATTCGCCGGCCTCCTTCGACCTCGTTATTTATCAGGGAAAAAATTCGCCGGCCTCCCTCAAGCAGGCACCGGTGGATTAGGTTTACCAACTAAAAGAGAACCCTGGGCCCAGGCCCTTTCCGGGAAAAAACATGAGACCCACGACCCGGAAAGGGATATAGACATGTGGAGCATGGACCGTTTTCCACGATACCTCAACTGGCAAAACCACCTCACGAAACATCCCACGAGACCACTTCACGAAACTTCCACGAGACACAACCACGGACATTTCACGAGACACCCACGAAACCATTCCACGAAACACCCCGCGAACATTCCACGAGACACCCCACGAAACATTCCAGACGACGACAGGGCAACCAGCTCAACCAAGGCGGTGTGGTCGTGCTGGGGGGTGGTCGTGCTGGGGCGTGGTCGTGCTGGGGCGTGGTCGTGCTGGGGGGTGGTCGTGCTGGGGGGGTGGTCGTGCTGGGGGGTGGTCGTGCTGGGGCGTGGTCGTGCTGGGGCGTGGTCGTGCTGGCGTGGTCGTGCTGGGGTGTGGTCGTGCTGTGGTGAGGTCGTGCTGGGGTGTGGTCGTGCTGGGGTGTGGTCTTGCTGGGGTGGGGTCGTGCGGGGGTGTGGTCGTGCTGGGGTGTGGTCGTGCTGGGGGGTGGTCGTGCTGTGGTGGGGTCGTGCTGGGGTGGGGTCGTGCTGGGGTGTGGTCGTGCTGGGTGTGGTCGTGTCGGGCTGGGGTGTGTCGTGCTGGGTGGGGGTCGTGCTGGGAGAGTGGTCGAGCTGGGTGTGGTCGTGCTTGGGGTGCTGGTCGTCTGGGGTGGGTGGTCGTGCTAGGTGGGTCGTGCTTGGGGGTGGGGTCGTGCTGGGTGGGGTCGGTGCTGCGTGTGGTCGTGCTGGGGTGTGGTCGTGCTGGGCGTGTCCGTGCTGGGTGGGTCCGGGTCTGGTGGGGTCGTGCTGGCGTTGGTTCGAGCCTGGGAGTTCCGCACCATTGATTTATCGATCCGGTTGTGCGGGGGTGAGGGTCGTCTGTGCAGGGTGTGGGTCGTGCTGGGTGTTGTCGTGCTGGGGTGTGTCGTGGCTGGATGGTCGTGCTGGGTGTGTCCGTGCTGGGGGTGGTCGTGCTGGGGGGTGGGTGCTGGGGGTGTCGTGCTGGGAGGTGGTCGTGCTGGGGAGTGGTCGTGCTGGGGCGTGGTCGTGCTGGGGAGTGATCGTGCTGGGGTGTGGTCGTGCTGTGGTGAGGTCGTGCTGGGGTGTGGTCGTGCTGGGGTGTGGTCTTGCTGGGGTAGGGTCGTGCTGGGGTCGGGTCGTGCTGGGGTGTGGTCGTGCTGGGGTATGGTCGTGCTGGGGTGGGGTCGTGCTTGGGTGGGGTCGTGCTGGGGTCTGGTCGTGCTGGGGTGTGGTCGTGCTGGGTATGGTCGTGCTAGGGTGGGGTCGTGCATTTCGCTCGAGACATCCTGCCAAAATTCCAGGAAATCGTACAAAAGCAAACGAATTAGTCGAGACATCATCGAAATTCCTTCGCGCGGGGCGCTTTTCCGCGTCGCGGTCGCTCTGCAAAACCAGCGTTCGCTTGAGACATCCTCACAAATTCTGAAAACAAGCGTTTCGCTCGAGACATCCCCAACTCTGCAAAACCAGCGTTTCGCTCGGACATCTCAAACAAATTCTGAAAACAAGCGTTTCGCTCGAGACATCCTCAAATTTTAATTCGCCGGCCTCCTTCGACCTCGATATTTATCAGGGAAAAAATTCGCCGGCCTCCTTCAAGTTGGCACCGGGGGACAGGTTTACCTACTAAAAGAGAACCCTGGGCCGGCGCCCTTTCCGGGAACAATGTCCCAGAGCTCCGTTTTAGCAGCTACGGGTTTACCAGCCTTCGCCTAGATTCTGAGAGATGTGAGAGCCCAGCTCCTCATCGATACCTCATACACGTGAATGGGCTATGCACAAGCAGACTTCGAGCGGCATGCCAGCCAATATCGAAGAAAAAGGGGCGCGATCACAGCCTGCGCCACCATCAGCTGAGTCGCTGCCGAAGCCCTGAGACCGAGGGCCATGAAACGCACTGGAAGCGGCAATGGGTCGGCCATGCCTCCGACATCGTGAGAGATCACAAAACCATGCATATGTATCGGCATATGTTCGTAGATGCACGTGCATGCACAGAAAACAAAACTATCGACCCAAGATGCCTCCAAGAGGCTCCCGGGAAGCTCCCGGGAGGCCCCAAGAGTGTCCCTCTCCTCCTCCTCCTCCTCCTCCTCCTCCTCCTCCTCCTCCTCCTCCTCCTCCTCCTCCCTCCTCCTCCTCCTCCTCCTCCTCACCCTCCTCCTCCTCCTCCTCCTCCTCCCTCCTCCTCCTCTCTCCTCCTCCTCCCCTCCTCCTGCAGGATCGGGCCCTGAGCCGCCCAGGCCTCCTGCCGACACGGGGGGCAAGAAAGCTCGCCGCTGCTGTGCGTTCACGACGTCCGCAGGTCATGAGCATCATCAAACTGGTGGGAGGGGGAGGAGGAGGGGGAGGAGGGAGGGGGAGGAGTAGGAGGAGGAGGAGGAGGAGGAGAGGAGGAGGGAGGGAGGGGAGGAGGGGAGGAGGAGGAGGAGGGGGAGGAGGAGGAGGAGGTGGGGGAGGTGGGGGAGGAGGAGGAGAACCGAAGTCCGCGCGGAGTCCTAGGATTCGCGCTGGACCCCCATCTGAGCATCGTTCATCCGATCCGTATCCCCAGCGGCGTGGCCTGGGCCCCACTGGCCGCTTTACCCCCCCCTGATGGGGCGATGGGCCGCTCCCTTCAGGCTTCGAGGGGTGCATCCCCAACTGCGGGGGGTAACTTGGTGGGGGTCTCGCAGGAGATGGTGATGGGGATGCGGGTCGGTTAAACGAGACTGAGGTCAGGGAAAGCCATGGCGACGTCTGCAGAGGAGGCGGCACGACAGCAGCAGCAGCAGCAGCAGCCGCAGCCGCAGCGGCAGCACGGACGAAGGGAGTGTCGCAACTCAAACTAATGCATTGTAGCGCCGGCGCCATCCTTGCTGCTGTGCCTATGCGCGCGCGTTCCTCCAGTGTCTCTATCATCCGCCTTCTCCCCCTCATCCTCCTCTACCCAAACTTTCTCCCGTTCCGTATGAGATGCCCCCCTGTCATAATGATCCTCACCCGTCTCCTTCCACGACCATCCCTCTTCCGCCCTCCTCCCCAATGCCGTAAGACAGCCTACTAACCCCAGCAAGAGGGACGCGGAAAAGGAGTGCGACGACGACGACGAGGAGAAGACGCATGAGGAGTGGAAGAGTACTGAGGGAGGTGAAGGATGAAAAAACTATGAGAGAGGAAAAGATGGAAAGAGGATGAGAAGAGGAGAAGAGAAGAGGAGAGAAGAGGAGGAAGAGGAGGAGGAGGAATGAGAGAGGGGGAGAAAAGAAGAGGAGGAGGAAGAGGAGGAGATATCGCCCGCCGCCTCCGAAGCCTCGTCGCCACGGATGGACCAGTCCTCGGGATCATGTTCAGAACGCACTCCAGGAGAGGGCCAGAAGGCGAGGGAGGACAGGAGACGGATGGAGGACGGAGGAGAAAACGAGGAGGGATGTCGGGGGCCCTTGCGGTTCAAGCGGCTCTAGCGGGGTCTGGGAAGCAGGGGGGAGGGAGCACGGGAGGTAGCACCAGGGAGGAGGGAGGAGCATGGAAGGAGCATGGAGGAGGGAGCATGGAGGAGGGAGCATGCGAGGAGGAAGCATGGAGGACAGAGCAGGGAGGAGGGAAAGCAGGGAGGGAGCCTGGAGGGAGCGCGGAAGCGGGCACAGCGGAGGGGGCATGGGAGGAGGGAGGGGAGCGAGGAGCGGCAAGGCCACCCAAGCGCGACTCCTGCACTTCGAAACTGGAGCCACAGCCGGCCCGATCATCGCCGAGGAGGCAGCAAACCGCGCGCCTGCATCTTCGGCCCGGCCCCCTGGGCCATGCCGTACCTGGGCTGCGACACGATGGCGCGGGAGGCGGGGCAGGGAGGGAAGGGGGAGTGGGAGGAGGAGTGAGAACGAGGAAGGGGAGGAGGCGGAGGAGGAGGAGGAGGAAGAAAAAGACGAGGAAGACGAGGAGGAGGAGGACCACTGCAAACCCAATCAGCAACGATATTGTAATAAGCCCTCCCTCCAAGCTCCCTTTTCATAGGGCCATGTCCCCGTTGGAGGACAATCGTTTGAAATCCCGAAATACGCCAGAATACCATTTCTGGGACTTCAACGCCGCGAATCACCGTTACTCTCGCGCCTTGATGGTCATGAACCATGCCACAGCACCAATCACCGCGAATCTGAAGAACTGCTGCCGCGTGACAGTCCGACATCGTGCCCAAGCATTCCTGTTACGTGAACCATGATCAGATCTGAAACAGCTGTAAACTCTTCAAACGGAACTGCGCGGCGCTAAAGCGAGAGCCACATTTCAAAAATGAGCCGCCCACCATCCGCGAAACTTCTGCAATTCTTCAAATGGATGTGCGCGGAGCGGTGGAGGAGAGCCACATTTTGAAAAGGAGCCGCCCTCCATCCGCGAAGCTCCTCCAATTCTGTTAGACGAACGTGGGCGGCGCTAAGGGAACCACTGTTTGAAAACGACCCGCCCTCAATACATGAAGCTCGTTGAAACGTTTGAAACGAATATGTAGATATACACAACAACCGCAACAAAAATGTATTTTGAAAGCGGTCCACCGAGGAGGAGGAGGAGGAGGAGGAAGAGGAGGAGGAGGAGGAGGAGGACAGGGAAGAGGAGGAGGACAGGGAGGTTGAGGATAGGGAGGAGGAGAAGGAGGAGGAGGAGGATAGGAAGAAGTAGGAGGAGGAGGAGGAGGAGGAGGGGGCTGCGGCCGAAGGCAGAGGGCTTGGCGCGCACGCGTTCGTGTTGCTGTCGGAGCTGAACACGGACTTCACGGCGGTGTCGGCCTCGTCCCGGACCTCGCCGCACAGCCCACCGTCGGCGCCTCTCAGCGCCCTCTCGTCGCCATCGCCGCTGTGGCCACGTCGTCGTCCTCTCTCTTCCGATCCTCCCCTCCACATCCACTCTGTAAGTCGTCCCTCCCTTCATTTCTCCTCCCATCGCATCCCGTCCCCTCCTCTCGTCCCCATGCCTTTCCCCGACCCCCGTCGCGGCTGATTTTCGCTCCGCCCTCGCCGCTACCGCCCCCCTGCCACTCCTGGTGCTCGCATCTCTCCTGGACCAGCACAACCAGCCCGACATCTCCGCCACTCCATCGTGCCAATCCCTGGGATCCATGCATACGATCGCGGCTTCTTTCCCTGACGTGGCATCCGAATCGGCTCCACAACTGACAGGAGAAAGCCGCAGAGCAAGACGGACTCATGGCAGAAAGGGCTCTGGGACCGCTTTGTTCGGGGCGTCGCCCTTCAACGGATCAGGTTTGCCTCGGTACTGCAGGCACGCCTTGACCAAGTCAGCCTGCAGGCCATGCAGTCCGTCTGCGTACTCCCCACGCGCATAAGCATTCCCTTCCCTGCACTCTGGCTTCAAAGCTGCCGAATGCCTCGTCGTAGACATGCACACATAGCCGAAAATTGCCAGCCCGCAACTGAACGGGAGCGGGCATGACTCCTACAAGTCATTGCACACAATCGCACGGACTTGTAAAGGTATCAAGAACTAAAAGCACAGCCAACAAGGCCTTGCCAGCGGGGTACATCCTCTATCCATGCGAAGACCGCCTATACTGCCACTCGCCTTACGGCCAGCAACGAGGAGGCTGGAATCGAAAGATATGCCCAAAACGATAAGGATGGCCATGTCAAAAGGGAGCACGATAGATGGAACGGGGGAGGGAACAAAGTCGAAGGCAACGTCAACCCTCTGCCCTTTTGGCCCACCTATCCAAACACTCATTCATCTTCACGTACTACACAAACGGGAGGGGGGGGAAAGGGAGAGGGGAGGAGGAGAGGGGGAGGGAGGGGGGGAGGGGGGGAGCCACGAGCGACTGGGATGGACGAGAAAGGATAAAGCGAAGAGGAAGAGAGTGGTGGAGCAGGGGAACCAATAATGGCGTAGACACGAGGATTCGGAGGTCCGCGCGGACTCCTCGGATCGGCGCGGACCCCCCGAGCTGCCATGCTCATGTCAGTGTTTGCTCCCCCGTGGAGGGAACGCCCGAGATCGCCGACGACACCAGCTCTTCCCGGGCAGCCCGTTCGTCCAAACACCGTCCCCTAACCCCGTCTAGAGCAACCCCCTAATTCCAACCCCGTCCAGACTGGGCCGCTTCACCCCTCTCTGACTCTCCTCCTCCTCCTCCTCCTCCTCCTCCTCCTCCTCCTCCTCCATTTCCTCCTCCTTCTCCTCCTCATCATCATCATCCTCATCATCATTCCCCCTATCCTTCTCCCCCCTATCCTCCTCATCCTCCTCCTTCTTCTCCTCCTACTCCCTATCCTCCTTCTCCGCCATATCCTCCTATTCCTCCTCATCATAATCTTCCTCCATGTCCTCCTCTTCTTTCTCTTATTCTTAGTATTAGTATTAGTGTATTCATCCTTAATACTAATACTCTTAAGTATTAGTAGTATTACTCGTGTTATTAATACTACGAGTGTTACTCATTATATCAGTAATGATAACACGCTTAATACTTGTGTCCGTAATAGTCGTAACATCACATTCGCAGTATCGCTAATATGATTGGTAGTAGTATTCGTCTTATTTGTATGGGTACACGTCGTATTATCATTCGCATTCGTCTTACTATTCGATGATGCTTAAACATTATTCGTCTCCGAATTGTAGTAGCGTTACCTTGGTTCTTCTGAAGATTATATTATTAGAAGTATTGTTTGCAACGTTCGCATCCTCACTATTACTACTTACCATGTGTACTAAGATTAGTTCCGGATTCGCACTCTTACTAGTGGTAGTAGTAATAGTAGTCGTAGTAGTCGTAGTAGTCGTAGTAGTAGGTAGTAGGTAGTAGGTAGTAGGTAGTAGGTAGTAGGTAGTAGGTAGTAGGTAGTAGGCAGTAGGCAGTAGGTAGTAGGTAGTAGGTAGTAGGTAGTAGGTAGTAGGTAGTAGGTAGTAGGTAGTAGGTAGTAGGTAGTAGGTAGTAGGTAGTAGGTAGTAGGTAGTAGGTAGTAGGTAGTAGGTAGTAGGTAGTAGGTAGTAGTAGTAGTAGTAGTAGTAGTAGTAGTAGTAGTAGTAGTAGTAGTAGTAGTAGTAGTAGTAGTAGTAGTAGTAGTAGTAGTAGTAGTAGTAGTAGTAGTAGTAGTAGTAGTAGTAGTAGTAGTAGTAGTAGTAGTAGTAGTAGTAGTAGTAGTAGTAGTAGTAGTAGTAGTAGTAGTAGTACTAGTAGTAGTAGTAGTAGTATAGTAGTAGTAGTACTAGTACTAGTACTAGTAGCAGCAGCAGCAGCAGCAGGAGTAGTAGTAGCAGTAGTAGTAGTAGCAGCAGTAGTAGTAGTAGTAGTAGTAACAGTAGTAGTAGTAGTAGTAGTAGTAGTAGTAGTAGTAGTAGTAGTAGTAGTAGTAGTAGTAGTGCTTGTCTTCTTCCTCTTGACATTATTCATATTGATATTAATAATATTGTTATTACTATTGCTGGCCTTCGTATTAAAATAGGTTGTTAGTATTCATATGTTTGCTATTACTACTATTGTCCCTTCTCCTCCTCCTCCTCTTTCTCCTCCTCCTCCTCCTCCGCCTCCTCCTCCTCCGCCTCCACCTCCTCCACCTCCGCCTCCTCCTCCTCCTCCTCCTCTCTTCCCATCTTCATTATCTTTCTCCTGCCTCTCTTCCCCTCTTCCTCCATCCCTCCCCTCCTCCTGTTTCTTCCCTGTTTCTTATGAATCACTCCTCCCTGACGCACCCCGAGGCCCGTCGAAAGGACGGGCCAGGCGTTTCGCCTGAAATTTCCTCTCCATTGATGTTCCTAAAGCTAATAATTTAAAACGGTTTCGCGAATGGATAGCGGGTCGTTTTCAAATGTGGCTCTCGCCTTAGCGCCGCACACACTCGTCTGGAAAGCTTGCAAGAGTTTCACCGATGAATGGCGGCCCGTCTTCAAAATGTGGCTCTCGCCTTAGCACCACGCACATCCGTCTTCAAAATTACGGATGCAGGACGGTCAGTTTTGAAAATGTGGCTCTCGCCCCAGCGCCGGGCATATTCGTCGTAAGAGTTTGAAACCGCCTCAAAGATTCTCATGCTTAACGTGCCAAAAACTGTGTTTGGGCAGGATGCCAGAATGTCAGGGCGCAACGGTCACGTTGATTCGCGGAGTTTTAGTCCCAGGAGTGGGGTTCCGGCACGATTCAGGATCGTTAAGACGCAACAGTAACGGTGATTCGCGGCGTTGACGTCCCAAGGATTTTCAAACCTTTTGTCTTCCAATGGAAATGAGCCATTGGTGGGGCGTATGATGAGGGAACTTAGAGCGAGGGTTTATCGCAAAATCGTTGATTAGCCGTAGGTTTACAGGTGGTCCTCTTCCTCCTCTCTTCCTTCGCCTCCTCGCCGCTTCCTCCCCCTCACCTCCTCCTCCTCCTCCTCCTCCTCCTCGTCCTCCTCCTCCTCCTCCTCCTCCATCCCTAAGCCCTCGTTCCATCCGTCCGTCCCGCCCACCCCCCTGCGGCAGTGGGCAGCCCTCTTCTGCACTGCCCGGCGAAACTCCGGCTTCCCCTGGTCGCAGACGTGCCGGATGATGCGCAGAACCTGCCCAGCAGGCGGCGCCCCGGACGAGGGAGAGGCACAGGGGCTACTGTCAAACAACCGATTCTCGAGCAGGGGATCGACAACAGAACTGATGTATCCCAGAATTGACTTCTCGTTCAACCCACGAAAAGTGCGTAGAATGCGCCGCAAATCTACGGAACAGTCTGCGTGTGTGTTCGACTGGACAAGGACATGTTAGGGTAAACGGGCGCAGCAAAGAAGACCCTCCCAAATGTGTGGCGCGCCTTCACTTTCACGAGCGGGTCGTCCCGCTCGAGCTTCTTGAGCAGGTAATCCGCAAGCTGCTGGCACGCGTTCACATCGTCGAAGGTGGCCTTTACGGGATTTCAACGGTTCCTGAGTCTCCCGATGTGGTAGCGTAGGCCCTCATCCTTCCCTCTCGTCGGCATCTTTTCGTCGGCGACCACTCTCCGATAGACTGGGCACGTTACAACCGAGGCCAATTGTCGAATGGATTAGCAGCATCGGATGAAATAAAAAGACATTACGTCTGGAATACGGGGGGGGGCAAGAGCAAAGAGGCACGAGCGCGGAGGAAGCAGGAAATCGAGAGGAAGCCGAAAAAGGGCGAAGGAGGAGCGAGGAAGACGGAAGGCGGGGGGATGAGGCATAAAAGGAAGAGGGAGAGGAGCAGGAGAGGGGAGGAGGGAAGAGAGTCAGGAAGGAGGAAGGAAGGGGCGAGATGGAGGGAGAAGGGAAGAGGGAGGAGCACGGCAGGAGAACGGAGGGAGGGGGGGGGGAGGCGAAGGAGAAAGGGAGGACGGGGACGGAAGGAAGCACAAGGGAGGAGGGGTGAAGGCAGGACAGGGGGAAGCGAACCGGGAGGAGAGGGGGAGGGCGGGGGGAGGAGGAGGAGAGCCGGAGCGAGAGCGAGAGAAAGGGAGCTCGGCAAGGGGGAGGGGCGAGGAAGCTCGGGTGCTTCCGGGTGCCGCGGGTGAAGAACGCTCCTCCCTCCTCCTCCTCCTCCTCCTCCTCCCCCTCCTCCTCCTCTTCCTCCTCCTCCTCCTCCTCTTCCTCCTCCTCTCCTCCCTCCTCCCTCCTCATCCGGCCCAGCTGCCTGGTGTAGAGGTCGGGGGGGTAGGAAAGGATTCCGGAGGTCGGCGCTTCGGTCCGACGCGTTTCCCGTCCGCTCTGTTGCGGGGCTCCCTTCACACTGTCCAGACTTTAATCATTGGTGCCCGTGCCGAATGTTCTCGCCCGTGTCGTTTTCCTCAGTCCGCGCTTGCTTGCACTGCTTGGGGTCCAGCTCCGGTTTTCATCCATCTAGTTGTGTACCATTTCTCCGCTGACAGGCTTTCTGGTTCATCAGCCTGGCAATCCAGAAATCCTCTTGCTCCTCATCCGCCTCCTCCTCCTCCTGCTCTTCCGCCTCCTCCTTTTCCTCCTCCTCCTCCTCCTCCTCCTCCTCCTCCTCCTTCTCCTCCTCCTGCTCCTCCTGCTCCTCCGCCTCCTCCGCCTCCTCCTCCTCCTCCTCGCTGGAGAGGTTTGGGGCTCGTGACTCGCGGCAAGGGACGATGGGCCGAGCCCCATCTGCAGACCAGACGGTTCGGGCGCACGCCCGGGTGATCCTGGCATGCGCATGCCCAGATGGGACGCACAAAGACATACTTAAGGAGGGAGGAGGGAGGAGGGAGGAGGGAGGAGGGAGAAGGGAGGAGGGAGGAGGGAGGAGGGAGGAGGGAGGAGGGAGGAGGGAGGCGGAGGAGGATCCAGGCCTCGCCCGCCCCCCCCTCTCGCGCCATCCGCCTCTCCGTGCCCCTGCCCCTTGTTCCCATCATACTTAGGGACAGCATCCGATCCAGAAAAGTATCGAAACAGTGTGTGTCGAACGAGCATCGCCTCCCAGGGCCCCCCACACGTGAAGACCCTCAGGTTTCGGTACTTTCTTGGTGCTCGAAAGTCTTTCTGGTGATCAAGGCTGAAATAGGTTGGAACATCATAGGACTAGTACGAAACATTTTCCTTGGAGGAACACTTACTATACCCATCTTGTAGCACATCGTTTCCCGAGCGATGTGGCCAGAAAGCGCCTGCCACGACGCATATACTGTAAGACTTATCGGTGCGCGCGTCGCCCGTGGGGGGGGGGGGGAGCGACGCACATATAGTCGAAGTATGTTGGGGTGACGCCGACCAAACGCTCAAAACCTAGAACAACTTCGACGATGCTCGAAAACGTGCGGCGGTCCTCGGAGACGCTCGAAGACTTTCGGAGATGCCGCCTTGCATGTGCTCGTACGTATTGTGAGGTCTTCGGAGCTTCGGAAATGTAGGGCGCATACATCTGCCAATCCTCAACATTTTCCTCATCCTCATCAATATCCCCCTCCGCTTCCTGATCCTTCTCGGTCATGAGGCGGACTGGCGGTTTCAGCCAGGAGGGGAGAATTGAGAGGGGGAGGGGGAGAGAAGGAGCAAGGGTGATAGTGATGGGGGGGGAGGAAGGCGAGCAGCAGAATCGTGAAAACGAGAACTCGCTAAAACCAACCAACTAGCCAGTGTCCTTTCGCGGCCGTCTCCCTCCGCCTCGTCCTCCTACGGAGAAGACGGGAGGATGAGACGCAGGGGGAAGGAGCGGGAAGGGAGTTCAAGGGTGTCCACAGCTCACCACGAGTTTGAGTTTTGAGTTTATGTCGGGGATGCGTATCATCCTGCTGCTCCTGGACAGGCTCCCATGCCCATCCCCCTCCTGTCACTACTCCGTCATAGTGCATGCCTCCACTATGGCACCGAGCCAAGCCGATAGCGCCTCAACGCGAGGATTTCCATCCTGACACTCAGGACACCATAGAAAGCCAAGGTGATTGTTTCACCATGGACGCTCTGCTGCCAACGCTGTGTCGTGGCCCTGGATATCACGCGGACTATTTAGCGGTGGTGCCGGATCGAATATGTTTACTACTACTACTACTACTACTACTACTACTACGACGACTACTACTACTACTACTGCTACTGCTACTGCTACTGCTACTACTACTACTACTACTACTA